CTTCCAAATGGCTGCAATGGCCAGGGCTGGGCCAGGCTGAAGCCAGGAGTTAGAACTCCATCTGGGTCTCTACAGGGGTAGCAGGGGCCCAGGCACTTGGGCCATCACCTGCTGCTCTCCCAGGCACATGAGCAGGGAGCTAGATTGGAAGTGGAACAGCCAGGACTCAAACAAGCGCCCATTTGGACGCCAGCATCGCAGGAAGCAGATTAACCCGCTATACCACAATGCTTGCCCTTAAAAAAAATTTTTTTAAAGTCAAGATACATCTCATAGGGCCTGTGAGAAGCTGCTTAATATGGTACTTTCTACCATCTCTGAGAAGCTAAAAAATTATAGAAGGGATTTTCTTATAAGTCCTGACTTTTGTGTATGTGAGGAATTGTACCAGCAACAAAGGGAAGCCCACAAAGCTGCTGAGAAAACTGGCTGCGACGCCAGCATGGCCTCAGGAGATCAGAAAGAATAAAAAAAAGAAGACGATGACACAAGACATGAAGCAAGGTTTCTATCAGGAATACACAAAATTATAATTACTTATGCACCTAAGAGAGCCCCCAAAATATATGGGGAGAAAACTGACAAAAATTAAGGGGAGAAATAGATAGTGCAACAACAATAATCAGAATAATCAATACTCAAATTTCCTTAATGGATAAAACAATCTACCAGAATATTAACAGAGAAACAGAAGACTTGAGCAACACAGACTGGATGATACTGACACCTACAGAACAAACCCCATCACAGCAGGTGCACAATCTTTGAGGCTACGTGAACTCTTTCCAGCACTGCCCACATACTGCACCCTAAAACAAACTGCGGTGAGAACAGGGAGAAAATCATTCACTCTTTCCAGGTCACAACCGGATGAAATTGGACCTTTATAACCAAAGAGGAATTTGAAACTCACACACATGTGGAAATGAAAACACAAGTCTACATAATCAGTGGCAAAAATCAAAAGGGAAGTTAGAAAATCCCGGGAGGTGAGTGAAATAGAGATGCAAACACTGAGACATCTCGGCCACAGCTGAAGCCGTGCTTGGGTAGCTTAGAGCTGCAAACGAGAAAAGCTCAAATTAGCTACGTAAACATCCCACCTGCACACTGGGAGATGAGAACAGACTCAAACTAAACAAGCAAAGGGAGCAAAGAAATAAGTATTAGGGCTGAATGCATGACATCAAGAATAGAAAAATCAATAAAGTCTAAAGTTGACTCGGTGAAAAGAGTTACAGAATCGGCAGAACTTCAGCACACCAGAGAGAAGACTCGAATTGCTGAAACTGAAGATGAGAGATGCCCAGATTCCCAGGAAGACACAAAGCACAAACATTGATTTGAGGAGAGACGGACCACCTAAGAGACCAATAGACCTATATCAAGAATGGAATAATAAAAAATAACTACTCGCAAACCAAAGCCAGGACCAGATGGTTCCCTAGTAAATCCTACACAGCACTGGGAGAGGTAATACCAATCCTTCCAGGAAACAGGTGAAGCGGAGACTCCCACAGCTCATTTGGGAAGGCCGGTGCTACCATGGCCCCACGCCAGACTGCAGCATCACAGACAAGAAACCTGCAGACCGGAATCTGTCATAGACACAAACATCCGCAACAAATCCCTAGCAAAGAAAACCCAGCAACAGGTACCCAGTGGAATTCGTCCCAGGAGTTCAATGCTCTTTCAACATCCAAAACCAACACAAATTCGTCTGTTTTCCATCGCTGTAACAGAATACCTGGGGCTGGGGACTTCCCACAGGCAGGGGCTTACGCAGCTCAGTTTGTGCAGCCCTCTTGGTTCAACCTCCAGCAAGGGACCCCCGGCTGCACCACGCGGTGGGTGGGAGTGTGTCCCAGAGATCAGCTGGTGAGTTCAGGAGACCGGGCAGGGCAGTCTTGCTCTCTCACAAACTGTAGAACTGTCATGGCTCCCAGGAGAAGCACACTGATTCCTCCCAAGGGAGGGCCCACCCCATCACCCCCGCGAGGATGCACTCTTAAATGTTCCCCCACCTCCTTATGCTGCCACGCTGAGGACCAAGCTCCAACACAGGGACATGCTGGGTACACACTCAGACCAGCCACGCCTGCATCACATCCTTCAATAAAAACAGAAAACAGCGGTTTTCTCAAGGCCTGCAGATCCACCACATTCATAATAAAATCTCCGTGCAGCTGGGATCAGACCAGAGCCGCTGGGCTGCGGAGGGCTTTGTGAAAGCCCGCAGTTAGCATCACACTAACCCAACTCCATACCACAACTCAGATTCAGAAATGAGAGCTGCCCGATTTGAATAATGTGCAAAGGACAGGAGTATGCATTTCCCCAGAGAAAATACACACATGGTCGGTAAGGCCATGAAAGGGAGTGTGCATCGGGCAGTCAACACCAGGGAAATGCAGATCGAAGCACAGGAGGGGCCTGCTGTTGGTTCAGAGGTTGAGACAGCGTGTGGGACACCTGCCTCCCATACTGCAGGCCCTGGGCTCAAGCCCTGGCTCCACTTCCAATTCAGTTTCCTGCTAACGTGCAGCAGGCGACAGAGTCAGTACCTGGTCCTTACCACCCACGTGGGAGACCCACGCTGAGTCCCAGGCTCTGGACTTTGGCCTGGCCCAGCCCTGGCTGTTGCAGGTATTTAGACGATGAACCAGAGGAGGGCCATCTCAGTCTGACTCTCTGCCTTTCAAATAAACAGATAAAAAATACCAGACACCACTCTACACTAAACTGCCTAAAATCAAAATGGCAGATGAAAGCAAGTGTTGGCGGGCAGGTGGAACAGCTCACGCCCTCACACACCAGGATGGCCAGCGTCTCTTTGAGCGACAGCGCGGCAGCTTCTCAAACGGCTGAATGTAGGATTTAGCGTTCCATTCCTAGACACAGAAGAGAAAACACTCATCCGCCAAAAAAGGTATACAGAAATATGCATGGGGCATATCCGTAATAGCAAAAAAAAAAAAAAACACTGGAAATACAAATGCCCCTCACTGGTGAGTGAGTGGACAGACATGATGTGGTAAATCATACAACGAGTGTTACTGGCAATCAAAGTAACACCACACTCACAGGACGTGCCTCAGAAAGTTCACGGAAAACTAGAATCAGAAGATAAGTTTAGGAGCAGGCGTTTGACCTAGAGGCTGAGCCACCGGAGTCCCGCATCAGAGCCCCTGGGTCCAACGCAAGGCTCCTGCTAATGCAGACCCCGAGAGGCAGCAGGTGACAGCTCCAGTACCTGGGTCCTTACCACCAGTGTGCGAGACCTGGACTGAGTTCCTGGCTCCAGGCTTCAGCCTTAGCCCAGCCCTTCTGATCGTGAATTCTGGGTAGTGAATCAAAGAGAGAGAGAGCGAGAGAGAGAGAGAGAGCGAGCACCTATCTCTCCATCTCTCTGCCTCCCAGATAATTTTCAAACTTTGAAAAGATGTTTATTTTGGTGTAAGATCTTGAAATCTGTTTTTTCCCAACACTTCTTTTTGTTTTTTAAAAAGATGTATTTATTTGAAAGTCAGAGTTACACAGATAAAGAAGGAGAGGCAGAGAGAGAGGTCTTCCATCTGCTGGGTCACTCCCCAGTTGGCCGCAACAGCCAGAGCTGCACCCATCCAAAGCCAGGAGCTTCTTCCAGGTCTCCCATGCGGGTGCAGGGACCTAAGGACTTGGGTCATCTTCCACTGCTTTCCCAGGCCACAGCAGAGAGCTGGATCAGAGTTGGAGCAGCCGGGACTCGAACCCATATGGGATGCCAGCACTGCAGGCAGCAGCTTTTACCAGTTACACCACAGCTCTGGTGCCACCTAACACTTATTTTTCATTAGTTTTTTGAGGAATCCTTATACATGCTCTGACATAAACCTTGACAATGCCACACTGAGTGAGAGAAGCCAGTCTGGACACCGGCCAACATAGTGTCCAGAGACAACCACCTGTGGAGGTAGGAAATACCCTGGCGGTCACCTGAGACTGGCAGGTGGGCGGCCCATATGGAACAGGGACGGCCAACGGACGTAGATTCTCTAATGCAAATGGCATAAGGTTGTCATCGGTGATGAACACTCAACTTTGAAGAAAGTAAAAGTCACTGGATTACACACTTTAAGTGCACAGATGGTGTTGCATGTAACATAATTCAGTAAAGTTATTAAAAAGGAAAAATATGGTCAAAATAATCACTAATGAAACGTAAATTAAAACCACGAGAAACCACTACACACTACCTTGACAGCTACAACAGACGCACTTTTCAAAGCTGCAGAAGCCGAGAGCTGAGGAGGAGAGCGGTCGCGGTGCCCCCACGGTCCCAGCTGGGAGAACGCGGCTTGGCAAACCTCTGCCATAACCAGCACAACACGTGGCGTTTAACTGCAGTGACATCGGGGCCCGTGTCCCCAGTGGACCGCAGGATGAGTGACAGCCCATGTTCCCAAGTCAGCTCCACACTCCCGGGGCCGGCGGAGGTTGTTGCTACAACAGCGCTAGAATTCACTCTGAATCGATCTCAAGTCGCACACCCAGAAACCACCTCTGGACCCTGGGCGACGCGGTGTTCAAGGCCAGCACCACAATCTCGCCCCAAACGGACAGAGGCAGGGTGGAAGGCCCAAACCGGGGGGTTTCCTCGGCCATGCAAACCCACCACCAGCCCCGTGCCTGCACACAGCAGGCACACGATGAACACAGCTGGATGGCTCTGGTTGTGATGGAGGGGAAAGAAGGCAAAGAGATTTCACCGTGCTAATTGCACACACGAGAAAATGGTGACAAGTCAGGTCCCGCCAGGTTCCACAGAACAAGGACACACACACACACATGCGCACACACAGTTCTTTGCAAGCCAGGAGAAAACTGTGCTCTCTGCCTCTGCCTGGACTCACCATGCCTCATTGCCCACTCCCACCCCTCGTTAGCGTCACTGTCTTGCTGCTTAACTTCTACAGCGACAGGGACTGAGCGAGGAACAGAAGCCCGCGCTCTGCACTTACGGCTGGCAGGGCTGTGCTGTGCCTCGGACTTGTTCCCCGGGGCAAGGTGAGACTTCTCGTTGGAGTCTTGCAGAAGCGTCAAGAACACCTTTTTGGAAACAAACAAAATGAGCCACGTGTTATTTTTATGTTCCTTCCCACGTTGCATCCCCGTTCTGTTGCCTCCATTACCCAACCAGGTCATCACAACATCCGCAAACACGCCCCAGGGTTCAGCTGCCATTCATTTAATCGGCGTGACTCTAAGGCTGCCTAGCACGCTGGCTGACGGCCTGCCCGTAGGAAACAAAGTTCAGTGAAACTTGGCCATGAGCCTCAAGGCCCATGCATGCTGGCAGAGAAGGCGGGTCACATCCACAGACAGCAGTCAGGCGGGACAACACGGTGCAGCCAGCCACGCGTGACTCACTGCCCCCAACATCCCAGAAGCAGGCATAATCAGACGATGAACTGTGATGTCTGTCGTTAATGCAAGGAGGACGTGCTCTCGTAGGTAAAAACCCCCGCTGGACATGCACCTTCCCTGGGGGGCGACGGGCCATGTTGCTAACACCGCTGATGTAACTTGCTGGAAGTCCCCGCTTAGCAAGTTCTGGAAGCAGAAGTCCAGCCTTGGTTTGTTCAAAGACTTGGCCCAAATCAGGAGAGAGGTGAGGAGACAAGAGCATGAGCCGTGACAAAGGGAGACGGGAGCTGGCTGGGGACATCACAAGACCCAAGGGCTGCACCTGAGCCCTGGCCAGGATTCACGGAGCCATGGAGAGAGAATTCCCAGCACAAACACTGGGCAGAGCACGAGAGGGACACAGGGTCCACAATCACACGTCCCGCAGCCGCCCCGCACTGAGGTCAAGGCTGTGCTCCAGGGTCCCGAGTGCTGAGGTTCCCCTCGGCAACGCTGGCCAGCTCTGCGCCTGCAGGCCCTGACTCCACGGCAGAGCGAGGGCCGCTTGGTGTGGGAACCCAGAACAGTGACAACAGCAGCTGAGCTCAGCAGGTGACGGCTGAACCCACACAGACCACACCGCCAAAGCCTGCAGCAATCCGTCACCCACATCAGGAGCCAAGACTCCTGGCACACCCTCCACGGGCCATGCACGAGCTGGGCTCCCTGCCCCGTCTGTGTCACTGCCCGTCTGGCTGGACTTCACACTCAGCATGTCCACACCCAGCACCCTCCCGGCACTTCCAATCTCTGCAGATGGCATGGCCATCCCCATTTCCCTAAACAAGCAGAAAGCCAGACCCCTCTGCAGGGGTCCTGGGGAAACCTCAGCCCCACAGGGGAAGGGCCCCAGGGAGCAGCCACAGTGAGCGAGCAGAGATGCGGGAGGCACGTGGCCTCTCTGCGTGGGGCTGATTAGTTTGGGTGGAATCCTGAACGTTTGTCTCCTAGCCTGGAGGTGGCATCAGGACTTTCATGAGCAGTTAGGTAGTTACCTTCACCTGCAAAATCGCAGAGACAACCTCAGCCTCACCTGCTGGTCCATAGCAGGGCCCCAGGGCGGGGTCGCACCATGACTGCACCTCCTTGCAGAACAAATGGCAACAGTGAGACAGGGGTCGGGATGCTGGGAGCAAGGGAGGGGGGGAATGATGAGCACTGCCCCCGGCATGGAGGCGCTGGAGACTTCTGGCCCTGGGAGCAGCTGGCAGCATGGGAGGTATGGGATAGACTTCCCGTAAGTGCTGTCGTCCCCACGTGGGACAAGGCAGAAGCGTAGCGCCGTGAGCCCTCACACAGTGCATTTATGGACAGAAGTGGAGTGAGCCAAGACTTACTCCTGGGGCGGAGTCGTGGTGCAGGGGGAAAAGCTGCCGCCTGTGACGCCTGCATCCCACGTGCTCCACTTCCATCCAGCTCCCTAACGGCCCAACTGTTAGGGCCCCAGCACCCACGTGAGACAGGGACGAAGCTCTGGCTCTTGACTGCAGCCTGGCGCAGCACTGGCTGCAGCCATCCCGGGAGTAAATCATTGGATGAAAGGTGTGTGCGCGTCTGTCTCGCCCTCTCTAACTCTGCCTTTCAAGTAAATGAATAAAGCTTTAGAAAATACCCATTCAGCAAGGGAAGACTTCCCTTTGCACCCTGTTCTCCATGGAGCCTCCATTCAGTCATGGGCAGGAAGCCGTGTCTACAGGAAGCCCATCCAGATGGCCTGGCGACAGTCCTCACCCAGCCTTTTACATCTTCCTCTTCATCCTCCTCGCATGCAAACGCAACGCCCATGGGTGAGAGTGCGGGGCTGGAGGAGGGAAGAGGACAGGGACTGGGCAGTGGCTGTGCTGACCACCAGGTCCCAGTCCACCACCCCACAGCCCTGAGCTCAGGACACAACCTGTCTTTGTGGGAGAACAAAGGCAGGTGTCAGACAACCAGCATGGAGGCTGCCGCCCAGTGCCACCTACCTCAGCTGCAGGCACCTGTCCAGGAGCCCCTGGGGAGGCAGGACGAGCGCAGCCCACCCCGTAAAGGCCGTGGTTTTCAAAGTCAGCGTGCTATCAGTCGCTGCAGTCATGGGTGCAGGCCCTAGGCGGCCATCACCACCTTGTTAGGCAGAGATGCAACACCCGTGCTGACGGACGCAGGCGGACGGCCGCTGTGTCTGATGGAGCCAGCACGTCTCCAGCAAAACCAGCCTCAGTGTCTGAACTTGGAGGCCCAATGTCATCAGGTGACCAGAGCTGAGAAATCCGAGCTGTGATGACGTGGACAATTAGGAGAAAATGTGAACGGCCCCAAGGGAAACCCACACAGCTGAGGAGGCTGTGGAGGCCCGGCTGACACCTGAACGCCCGCTGAGAGAAAGGCAACGGACAGAGCAGGTGCGAGGCACTGAGCCCGGGCAGGACGCCCAGCTGCCCGCTCACGCCCCGGCTTCCAGAGGCTGCTGCCGCGCTCAGGTAAGGCGACATCGTCCGGTCCCGGCCTGTACACGCCCCTCCGCCTCAGGCTCTCCCCTTCCCTCCCCAGGAGCCCAGCGGAACCTGCCCCGATGCCTCTGTACAAAGTGCCGCGCGCGGGTCTCTCGGTCTTTGCCAATTTTCTGAATTGCACTGGAATTACCTCAGGCTTCTCTCAAGTCAGAAAACCCACTAAGGTAGCCAAACGATTTCTAATAATTTTCTAACTTGTATTTCTCGGCACACAAGGGTACTCCCAAAGAGCACGGAAAACAGAATGAAAAGGTGAGTGTGTTTTGGTATAGAAGTTGCCTGATCTGCATAGTTTTTTTTTTTGCCTCATAATGCACATTTTCCATGAACTTTTTGAAGACCCTTCACATGCATGGAGTTTAGTCTTTGCAACAAACATGTTTTAATTCCATTTTCCACAAGCTTTTTGAAGTGTCCTAGTTATATTTATAGAGCACATGATTAAAATGACACGTGTATACACATGTCAATTTTTATTACATTCATCACTCAGAATGAATACAAATGAAACCAGAAATGAGGAAGTTAAATCTCAAGGACACTAACTAGCATGAAAACAATGTAGGCTTTACAAAACCGTGGCTTTAAGTGGAACGCCCGCAGCATTTCTGCTCCTTTCCTGAGGCAGCGTAAACTCAGTGGTCTGGGCCTCTCCACGCGGCCTCCGTATTCTCAATTTAAAAGAGCTGCAGGGCTGAGCCTTTGTGGAGGCCGTGTCCTCTCCACAGAGCCAGGGCCATCAATCGCTCCACTGCAGGGCACAGCCCAGCCTCACACGTGCTCTGTTTAAAATGCACTGAGGGCAGGGCCAGCCCCCAGACGTGACCCACGCTCAAAGTGCCACTCTAACGGACTGTCACCCAGACGGTCCGCGCAAGGTGCCTTTGGCTCGGACACTACAGGAACCAATGATGCTGACCCCACTTCTCTGAGATGACAAGAGCTGTGCTTCAAGACAGGAAGAATTTCCAGAGCGACTGCCTTCAAATAAGCAGAAGATGGACATCGGTGGGCTGCTTAGGCGATGAGGGACATGAGGTCCCGGTGCAGGACGCCGGGCAGTGCAAGCTGACTGCATGACCGGGAACGTGTGTGTACTTCCCACTGTTGCTGCGACAGACGAACACCGACGCGGAGGCTTCACGCCAGTCACACCTCGTGCTTCTGCAGGGCAGAATTACACAGAGGCCACACGCCAGCCAGTTTCACTGTCCAGTGGCTCCCTGCATCCCCTGGTTTGGGGCCCACGCTCCTCCAATGCCCACGCTCACGCTTCCAGTCGCTGTTCCATCAGGACATCGCCTTCTCCCAGTGTGACGCCCCCGCCACGTCCCTCATGCATGGACTGCTGGACCCAGGAGCGTCTCCCCAGTTAAGCACAGCTACGGGCTCCAGGGGTGAGGACAGGGACACCCGTGGGTCACGAGGCAGCCTGTTCTGCAGCTAGGACGGCACCAGTGCCGCTGTGAAGCCAGAGCTGCCGAGTTGACCTGTCCCTGGGCATTCAAACACAGTGACTGTCAGAAGGCAGACGAGAGCGCTGCGGCACTCAGCACAGCCCTGCCAATCCCTGCCTCTGAGCCACCCAGACTCAGCCTCTCAGTCTGCTTATCTGTATAGGGGTGAGATGAAGTGGCATGGGGTATAAAAACCTAGCTCCAGGTCAAGCTTGCACTCTGTGACACCCTACGATATCTTTCCATAAACAGATTGTTTTCTCTTAAATCCAGAGAACGCAGAGGATGGGCCAGGGCACTGCG